CTTATTACATGGAAAAAGGTTCACTTGAAGATAACTTTAATGTTCTCACAAAAACACAAAAATACATTATAATTAATTCAATTGCAAATTGTTGTGATTTCCTACATAAATGTGAGGTTTTCCATTTAAATTTAAATCCAAACAATATTTTACTTGATCCTCAATATTATCCACGTATCACAGATTATTATGGATTTAAAATTCATAAACTTATTGAAAAAATAGATAACAAGATAGGTTTATCTTTATATATGGCTCCCGAAGTTATTCATGAAAAAAAGTTTGGTCCAGAAGCTGATGTTTACTCATTTGGTATCATTGCATATGAAATTTTAACAAATGATCGATCTTTTACAAATATGGTCAAGAAATATGAGTCGTTTGATGATATTCCACAAAATATTTTACCTAACTTGTCATTAATTAAGAATGACCATTTACGTAGCATTGTGATGAAATGCTTATCACTCGATCCAAAAGAACGTCCAACATTTCCAGATATTATAGAATCACTGAATGACAAACTGATTAAAAAAGATATGAAAGTTGAACATAGGGATTTACAAAAATATATCAACTTTCAATCATTAGAAAGAGCAAAGCTAAAAGATCCTGTTGCAATGAATAGAATTGGATGCATACGTGATTATGAAAAAGCAGATATCAAAGAAATATTAAAATATTATGATGGAGCGATTGAACAGGGAAATGGAAGTGCAATGTTCAATAAAATAGGAATGTTATATTTTGGCCGAAATTGTCAAAGAAACGTTGAAGAAGCTATGAAACTGATGAAATTGGCCATTAAACATAATAATCCTTTTGCAATGACAAATTATGGTTGCTTTTTGTTTTTTGGTGTCGATGTTCCAAGAGACACCGAAGAAGGTTTATATTACCTCAAAACAGGTGTAAAGGCAAACAATTCATATGCAATGTTAGAATTGGGGAAAATATATTTGAATGGCTTTAGTGTACCTACAAATACAGATAAGGCATTACAACTTTTTGAAAAGTCAGCAAGTTTACAAAATGCTGGTGCCATGGTTTGTCTTGCAGAAATGTACAAGAATGGTAACGGAGTACAAAAAGACATAAATGTAGCTATTAAATGGTTAAAAGAAGCGATAGATCTTTATTCGAATGAAGCAAAATGTGTCCTTGCTGATATATATGCATATGAAGATGGTTTCAAAAATGAAGAAGAAGCTCTTCGACTATTGGATGAAGCAATCGAAGATAATTATACAAAAGCAGTTATTAAAAAGCATAATTTGATATTTCATGATAACAAAAAAGATGCAGATGAAGATCTAATTGACGTTTGCTATATCGATTTTTTTGATGGTCTTCATATCGAAAAACCAAAATCACATCACATTAAATACTTGCCAAAAAGTGATTTTCAAAATTCATCTCATTAAATAAATAAAAGTTATTTTTTTATAATTCTGATATTGGTTATCAGGTTTTACACTTTTTAACTCAAATAATCGATATTAAAATGTTATTTATTGGAAATTTTAATTGATGAATTCGATTATCAGGTATGAAATGTGATACAGAAAAAATATTCATTTGATATCGAATCTTGAAGAAATTAAGAAAGAAATTAATAAAAATGTAAAATTAATCGATGTTTCAACTATAATCATTGAAGTCATTCAGAGCATTAAATTAAATACTGATTCACAGTATGATTTTTATTTTACTGAATTAAATAGAATTTATTTTTTGTACAATTATTTATGTGATCCGATTGAATCATTCAATTTATATGAACGAAAACAATCAAATAAATTGAATCTCAAAGATATCAATTCTGAATTTTACAAAGGATTTGATATTTATCTTTAATCTATGCAAATGCAACCATAAGATATCATTCGTTGAAACTTGGTCGATTATTTCCTTCAAAGTTCAAGCAGTTATTGATCAGGTTCTTTGCGAATTCAGTGAATGTTGAAGGAATGTCAGCCTTCTTTCCTTGCAAGTTTTGTGGTGTTTTGATCTTTGGTAATTGACTATAGCTCAAAGTTTAATAGACAAGAACACCGAATGAGTAAACATCAATCTTTTCATTGAAATCATCTTCTTCGGGGATGATTTCTGGGGCCATGAATTTGTTCGTTCCAACACCAATCGTTATTGTGAATTGTTCTAGCTTCATCAATTTCGAGAATGATGGATTTGAGCCACGAATTTTCAAAATGATTGGATTGATTGAAATGATGATTGTCTTCGAGATCAACTGTATTTTTGGCAAAGTTATTATTATAAACGGATAATGAGGTGACATTAACTTCACATTTAAACTGCTTTTAATAAATCCGAACGAGTATTTAACCATGATTTAGCTGTTATGACAAAATTGATTGAAAAAGTATTTTAAAAGTTTGTATATTTTGACCATTGGTTCCGATATATTAAAAGAGGTTTATCACTGGAATTTCCACCAAATTTATCTGTTAGGTAAGTGATGATGCCTTTGAATGCACCAGATACATTCAGTGATCCAAACACCTCAAAAATTTACCAGAATTCATATTCAATATGAACTTCCAAATTGAATTTGGTTTTCTTTAAAAACGATGTCTCCTTTACAACTTGGCTCTTTGATTCCTTTAAAATAATTTTGTGAAAAATTAGGGAATGAAAAACTTTTATTCCAAATAGTAAAAAGCGATGCAGATAATTTCAATGCACCATCATCACCGCTACAGTTATAAAATGAATATGAGTCAATAGACCTTCTGGTCTCACAATTAAAGCATCCATTAATTCCAAGAATCTTTAGTAAAAATGATAGAAAAAATACGATAGCAATTGAATTCATATATGGCCACACATTAGAAAACATCCATAAAATTCACTTAACAAATAAAGAAAAATTAACAATTATATTTGAACTAATGCTTATTATCGAATATCATCATCGCAATCACTTCATTTACAGGTTTTTAAGACCCAGTTATATCATTATTGATGAAAACAAAGATGGAATTCTAAGTAATTTTGATTGAATGATTCAATATGATAAGAATCATTTTTTCCAAGAAACGAGAATGCATACACGAGATTTTATGTCAATTTCCACGTCTCTAAAAGATTTATTTGTATTAATTTCTCAAAACTGTGGTATTTATTCACTAGGACTTATGATTTACTACATAATGAAAGAGAGAGAATATCAAAATTTGAACGAAATAGGTAATTTTGGTGGTAATTCGAGCATTGAGTATATTTTTCACAAATGTATCGAAAAAAAACAGATGTGCGGCCTTCAATTTCTGAATTAATTTTTGAGTTTTATGTCAAATATGATTCAGAAATTGATTTTGAACGAATACGACAATTGGCAGAAGAGTCATTCAAAATCTGTTATGGTCCAGACGTATCTAGCGTGTTAATGATTATTAACAATTTTGAGATAAGATCACAAACACGAATCGATCTGATAATATTATCAATTGGAATTTTGAGATAAGATCACAAACACGTATCTAGCGTGTTATATAATAAGGGTTGGTTTCAAAAAGATTCAAATGCACAATATCATCCAGGCTAAATTTATTACAGAGGAGAATTTGTTGAATCTGATATTAACAAAGCAATTCATTGTTTAACATTGGCAGCAAATCAAAACAACCTTGATGCACAGTGTATTCTTGGTGCCATTTATAGCGAAGGTAAATATGTTACATGTGACATTAAAAAAGCGATTTATTATTGAAATTTGAAAGTCTTCAGAATTAATATTCAAATTTTTAAATTCTTATTCAAAATATTGATATATAAAATATCTTTTATCTTTATTAATAAAATAATTAAATATTTTATTATACTTTTTAAATATGATAAAAACTATATTTTCATATTTTCATATATTATTTTTGGTAAATATTTTTAAATAAAACTAATAAATATAAAACAATATTTTTACAATTATTTTTTTTTTTTCTTTCAAAAAACAAATGAGTAAATCCAAAGTTTATTTTACCAAAGAAATAACACCCGAAAGCTTAATTCGTATATATGACGCACTTGGTAGGGAACTTCAAGGAAAAATTTGCGTTAAAATTTCTACAGGTGAACCAGGTGGACATAACTTCTTAAGTCCTGATCTTATCAAAGGATTAGTTAATAAAGTTGACGGTACAATTGTCGAATGTCTTACAGCATATCGAGGAAAGCGAAACACAGTAGAAGCTCACAAGCAAACCTTTAAAGATCATGGATTTGCTGATATAGCTCCTTGCGAACTATTAGACGAAGAAGGCACAATGAAAATTCCAATTGAAGGAGGCAAACATCTCAAAGGTTATGATATTGTTGGCTCCCGAATGCCCAATTACAAATCAAGCATAATTCTATCTCATTTCAAAGGTCATATGGCGGCTGGCTTTGGAGGAGCTTTGAAAAATATGAGTATTGGATTTGCATCAGCAGCAGGAAAAGCATGGATTCACTCATCTGGAAAAACTGAAAATAATATTTTAATGTTTGTTGGATTTTTACAGCAAGATGCCTTTTTAGAAAGCATGGCTGAAGCCTGCAAAGGTGTTATTGATTTTTTCAAACCTGAAAATTTATGCTACATTAATGTTGCTAATAAGTTATCTGTTGATTGCGACTGCTCTTCGCATCCAAAAGACCCAGAAATGAAAGATATCGGTATTTTTGCTTCCCTTGATCCAGTTGCAATTGACCAATGCTGCTATGACCAGGTAATTAATTCAAGTGACGAAGGAAAAGCATCATTAGTGAAAAGAATGAACGGAAGACATGGAATTCATGTTGTTGAAGAGGCTTGTCGATTAGGACTCGGATCAAGAGAATATGAGCTCATCGATATTGATAATTAATTATTTTAATTAAAATAATTAAAAAAAACAGTATTATCATTTTCATTATTTCTTACTTGTTGGTGAATTATTAACTTTTTTTTTTTTTTTTTTATTTGAAATTGATGAAATAAATTAAAAAAAAAAGCAAAAAAATGCTTTGAGCGTGACTCGGACACGCGACCTTAGGATTATGAGACCTACGCTCTACCGACTGAGCTATCAAAGCTTGTTGATTTTTCATTTATATAATTATATTTGAATTTACATGCAAATTTTATAAAATTTCATATTCTAATATAATCTGGATTTTCTTCAAAATAACTCATAATCAAATAAAACATCTTTTTTCATAATAATATTATTTATTTATAAAACAAAGATTGCTCATTTACTTGATTCATTAATTTTTCTAATGAAATCATTAAAAAATGTCGAATTTTTCTGTTTTGGACAGTTATTAATGAAGTACTTATATAGTTCGTCAATTGGATAAGGCGAAAATAGAATTGACAAAGAAGGGTCATTCAAAATATGGTTTGGGAACACGTAATTATTCTTATGATACTGAGAAGAGTTTGGAATCAAAGTTTTAATTATCTGTATGAACATATCGCAGTCATTTTTATTCCCATAATAATCCATCGCTTGTGTAGCACAATAAGAGTTGACTTTCAATCTGAACTGTTGAATAGTTTGGAAATTGGAAGACATGTGAATCATTCGAGCAACATTTGATTTTGACACATTTATATTTCTATACCTCAACTCAACGATGTCACTATTTTTCAATTGCTTTGTATATCTAATGTAAGCAAGCTTTATCCAATCTCTCTCATTGCTCCATCTGAAAGTAAAATGATAAAAAAACAGACATTGTGCATGAACATGTCTCTTTGGCGGATTCATCATTAAATAGCAAACAGCTTCGTATGTCGGAAATTCATCTACATCACTATAGAAGAAGAAATCATTCTCCCTGGCAAAATGTAGCTGGTCAAAATGCACTTACGATGAAAAGTTGGCTTGTTTTTTTCAATGTCGTATTAAAAATAGCCAGAACACATGGATTGATTAGTCATATCGGCCTCATATAAAAATATTGTTTTGTTTTCAAAAAATGGTTTCAGAAAATTATCAATTGGTTGAAATGAAGGTGGCGGTAAAGGATTGCCTGTAAATGATATGTTTGAAAATACTAAAACAAACTTCGAAATTAATGGATATAGATATTTTATTTGAAAGGCAAGCATATATGATTCTGATTTATACGTAAATGCTGAAAATATTGGAAATTAAAAATTTTAATGATATCTTCTGAAAAGTCAAAGTAGAATTTAATCTGTGCACAAAATATTAAAAAGAAAGAGAGAAAAACATAATGAATCATCGCAGGATTATACATTTGATAAATTCCATGAAAGTGATGGTCATTTATTTGACCATTATTTACTGATCTTATAAAAAAAGGTATATAAAAATAATTTATAAGTTTATTCATAAGATATTAAATATGTTATTTGAACAAATCAAATTGTTTCATTTGGAAAACATATTATCATATTTATTTGAAAAATAATATGAATAATAGAATTATTAATAGAACAAGAATTATTTTTTCAAATAAGAAGATTTTATCCAAGAGCTGATTTTGGTTTGATTTTCTAATTTTTTCAACCGAATCTGTTTCATTAACTTTTATGATTTGGCGTTCTTTATTTAGTAATTGGGTAGAATTATCTTCTTTAATTATCATTTTATTTGAAGAATTGATTTCTTCTTTTTCTTTTATATTTGAGTCAGTATAATCGCATTTATTTTCAATATTTAATTGGTCGTATTTTTGAAAAATCATTGAAATTTTAGAATTCATTGAATCCAATTTTTGTTGATTTTCATTGCTAAAATCATCGCATTTTTGTTTAAACTTCTCGGTAAATGTTTGACATTTTTTGAGAATAATTAAAAAGCTACGTTGCATATTAATGTTATTATTTTCTTGAATAATTGAAATTTCGGCATCTTGCTGCTCAATTATATTTTTATAATCTTCATTTTGTGCTTGTAATTCATCGATCTTTTGTTGAAAAATGGAATTAATTTTTTGAATACGAGCTTCATTTTGAATTACGTATTGAACCATTTTTTGGGATAGCATCGAAATATCTTTTTTGTTACAATCATTTTCTGCATCTATTTGGTTCACCTTTTGTTCTTTTTCTATTGGAACATTGGGATTAACAGTATTTTCATCCATCATTTACGTTAATTTAAATTCAAACGTACATTGTACGTTTTTTAAATTTTTCTTATGAAATATATCTATAAAAATATATTTTCTTTATTATTTTATTTTATATATAATAAAATCTGTAGAAAAACCTCTAATATAAGTTCACTAATTCATTCAATAAATCAATATGAAATAAAATTAATGTGTTATAACCAAATAAAAATTAAAATGCTTTTTTATCAAATTAAATAATTAATTTAAGCATAAAATATAATTTTTACATAGAATTTAAAAGGATAAAAAGAAAATAGTTTTTTTATTTATCTCAAAATTTTAATTGAAATTAATGTATTTGTTTTAATCGTTATAATTCAATTTTTTTTATATCAAACTTTTTAAAAACCCGCTATTTATTTTTTAAAATTGGAAATAACTGTATTATGACTTTTTTACAATTTAAAGATGCTGATGGACTAAGAGCATTTTCATCATTGAATATGCCAAACACATTTAGATTTACAATTGGATCACATAATTATTACATGCCGTCAATATTAGCAGATTTTCTATCACCAGCTGTTGCAGAAATGCATTTAGTTGACCCAACATTAAATTATTTTTTAATTTCTGATGTTTCTGATGATAATCTTTATTTTGAATCATTCATGTTATTGGCAAGTGGCAGAGAAATAGAAATCACTCCAGAAAATTGTGTATTTATGGAAATAGTTGGTTCCAAACTTATGAATGAAGAAATTGTCAAAGTAGCTTCAGAATTTGCGACAAATATATCACCCATAACCACCGAAAATGCGGTTTCACGTTTAAATCAGAAAAATTCACTAGGAATCATTCCAATTATTGAAATTAAATTCATATCTGAGAACTTCTGGGTGATAGATCCAACTAATTTATTCCAAATTGAAGTAAAAGATTTTCAATTGATATTGAGTCATCCAGAACTGAAAATTTTGAATGAAGACTGGCTTTTTCAATTAATTTTAAGACTGAATACAGAAAAAGGGCAATCATATCGCATTCTCCTTTCATATGTTTCATTTCAAGACCTCAGCATTGAATCCATTCAAAATTTCTTTGAACGATCAAAAAACATTCAAATTGATGACTTCATTCTTCGATCAGTTCAAGAAAAGCTGACATCAGCAAACAAAAATGATCAACAACATTCAACTCACATAACCGCCAATCAGTCAGAAATCAACTATGTCTATCAAAAATCTCGAAATCAGCAAAATTCATTCAATTCCGACTTTTTCAAAGAGTATCATTTGAATCACGGCCAACAAACATTTGATTACATATCGTCACTTTTTGATAACTCGCAATCATCAACACCAGATTCATCAATTTACAACTTCAATAACAAATTCAATCCTTTTGAGCCAAAACCGCCCAAACCGTTTCCTGACTATTTTTGGAGAATGAATTCGAAAAACAAAAATGAAAAAGAAGATGAAAAAAATGATGAAACGAAAAGAAAAAGATTGATTGACGATGAAATGTTTCCATTTTTGAATTATCCTGTTGAAATTCGCCATACCGATAAAAGTGAACAGATACCAATTCACTTCACAAACACCGATAATTTCGCCTTCTCGTCGTCTTCATCAGACGATGAAAACAATGAAAAAACTGGAAAAAGTTTATTAGAAAAAGTTGCCGATCAAGTTTTCAATACTTCTCAGAAAATATTTGATAACCAGACTGAAAGAAAGGAAGAAGAAGACAAAGAGAAAAATAGCCAAAGTGAGCAGACAGGCTTTTTTTCATCTTTGAGAAACGGTTTTTGGAACATTTTCACACCAGTCGACCAAAAAGAGCCTGAAAATATAATTCCACGTGAAGAAGAATTGAAAACATTTGATCCGGAATCCATTTTCCAGAACCAAAACGAGGCTGAGAGAAACAGATCAAGTGGCTGGCCAACTCCGCCTCCATCCGACCGCCGCAGACACATTCACAACGAACAGCAGCATAACGACAACAACATTGAGCATGGAAACAGAGCTGCCGCAATTGCCATTCATGATAATGATAACGACAACAATAGGATACATGTTAATGTTGAAAACAATGTTAATGTTAATCATCATAGTGATAAAAAATCTGACGATGATGATCTTGACGGATATGCAGGTTTTGAGAAAGAACAATATTGATATATATAAATAATTATCTCTATAAATGAAAAAGAATGTTGAGAATGTGAAATAAAAAAAGAATATTTATAAAGATCTCTTTTTAGATTATTTTTATACAATGAACTATAATTTGGACCAGTTTCAACGTATTGAAATTTGTAGAAAATTCTTCTTCCATTTAGATAAAAAAAGTTTTGTATTTTCTTTCATGTTTTCAATCACTGTCTTGATCTTAATCACAATCAAAAAGGAAAATGCAAATACAATCAAATATTCTTTGATTAAACGAATTAATGTATTACATTTTAAATAAACCAATCATCAAAATTCTTCATTATATATCTCTGATCTATTGGGTTTACGAAAGTTTCATTTTCAATACCGTCAGAACTCTCATCAGAAATATAAAATTCATCGCTTAAAATCATTTTCATTTCATTTTTCTTTCTAATCAAAATGATCACAATTCCTAAAGTAGAAAAGAACAAGGCAGCAGATCCACAAACAATTCCAATGAGTTGTGATGAGTTTTGTCCTTTGGGAGGTCTAATAATCAATTTTATATATGTTGGAACATATGAGGGAGATAAAAATTGTATTACATATGGAAAACAAGAATATTTGCTATTCAGCGGATAATAAGAAATGGAGAATGAAACAGATTTAATTGAAACCATTGTGAGAGAAAGTGAAATAGATATCGTTTCTCTTTGAAATTTTGGAGTTTGGTGAGGTGTTGAAGTGAAAAAATCTGAATGAGAAAAAACATCTGACATTTAAAAATTATTTGTATTAGTAAATTTTTTTGATTGTGTAAAAAAATTTTGATAAGGT